AAAAAAAGGAAAAATAAAACTTTTTGAGCAAGGAAGATAGTGCAGGACAGACTATGCCTGCCACTGATTATCTTTCTTTCTGAGAACAGGACTAACTTCTTATTTCCCAGAAGACTTAAAGCCTTTTCCCTGACCTTTATTTTGTCTTTTATGAAAGTCAACAGATTTTTATTGAAGTCTCTCTCTCTTTTTTTTTCTCTTTTTTTTTTATCTGTAGAAAAAGAAACAAACTCCACTGGCTCCCCTTCTGCCACAGAGGAGTCTAATTGCAACATTTCAGTTCATAAATGTGTGTAAAGGGTACACCAGGCTAATAATTTGACTTAGGTTTCTGTAGACAGGCTCTTTCATCTTGCGCATGAAAATGGGGAGACTTTTTTTTTTTTAAAGGAAACAATGTGAAGATGCATTGTAAAGCTACATTCATCATTTCAGCTAACTCCATGAGCCAGTATGATCCTGGGGGGAGTTTTATTGTTCTTCTGGGGAGCAATAAAAAAGTTAAATGTCCTCACCTCTGTATCTTTTTATGACCTTACACTTTTTTTAAAGATCTGTTTTCTGGCATGGGTCAAATGTCCTGTGTGTTTGTTTTGTCATTTAAATCATAGATTATTTTTTTTTTATCATTTTGTTCATCTTATAATATAATTTGGTCTCTTGGGTTTCTAGCAGCTTCCCAGGTTGGTCTGGTATGGCAGCATTTGTTTCTGGGATCTCAAGGCGTCCTCTTTGAAATTTTCTGTTTTGTGACTGTGTTTAAGATAAAATTTTCCCCAAAAGTTTGTGGTTTTCCACAGGATCAATCCAGAGAGGAAATCTTTGTTTGGAATGTCTTTCTATAAAAGGCAGTAACAAAAGTTAATTTTATTTTCTAATCTAAGAAGGAGCACCAGTAGCAGGGAAGTGACCTCAAATGTGCTTTCCTGAGTGCAATCATACTTGATTTTCTTTATTTCTAAACCATGACGCTCTATCATGTGAAAGTGATTTCAATGATACATATAAAAAATCAGTATATTAAGAATAACATTTTCACAGGTATTAGAAACAGTAGTCACTTTCATAGTTACGTGTAAAAATATCTTTGTCCAGTAGTTATTGCAGTCTGCATTGCCCATTTACCTAATTCAGTAATTTATGTTTAAATATAACTCTTGCATTCCTTTTCCATTTAATAAAGTTGTAGTCTTTTTGGTCCTCTTCTCTACAGATGCTTTAATACATTAAGTCAATTATTTGCATGATAGGGTTTTTTAATTTATTTTTTATATTTTTAAAAAGTTAAGTCTGTTGTACATTGAAGTGGAGATGAGGTGATTTTTCTCTTAATAGTGGGATTGTGATTCTCAGCTTGTGCTGGAAGCTTGTCACGTATGACCATTTTATTTGGTATTGATTAATTTTCTTGCTCATCATGAATCTATTCCAAGACTAATAATGAGTGCAAGGAAATTAATCACATTATTTCTAAAATTCAGGAAAACATACCACAAAGACTGAAGTGATTGTATGTTAATAGCATTTATAAACCCTCCCAGAGCATTTGTTGTGGAAAGGTTTGGTTTGGGTTTGTTCGGGTTTCTTTACCTAGCACATTCAAAATCTACCTCTCTGTACTGAATTGCTGTTGAAACTCAAGGCTGTTACTTTAATTGAAACTTGGGACAATCAGCTGCAGCTGTAGATGTTGTATTATGTCCTAAAAGTAACCCTGTGATACCCTATTATGTATCTGAAGATTAAACATTGCCTCTGTACACACACACACACACATACACATACAAAGGCAGCAAGTTCATCCCTCTCACTCCAGATTTTGTCAAGGTTGAGTGCTAAATATAAGCATTCCTTGCTTTGCCCAGCTTTGTACTGGCTAGTGATATAAATCTAGGGCAATTTTGCTTTAATTCCACTTGAAAAAAATCTCTACAGACCCTCCCAGTACATGGGTGTGCGTGTGGTATGGGACAGCCGTAATCATCAGCACTTGAAAGACCCTTTTCCCAGGCAACAGGCTGAGTCTGACAGGTTTTCTTTACGCAGGGGATGTCACCAGTCCAGCAAGACTTTTTCTCTTTTTATTTTCTTTTTTTATTTTTTTTTTTTCTTCTGCAGTCACACTGATGGGGTATGTCTGCAGGCTGTATGTGTTCAGCTTCTGAACAACAGCAAAGGGTTTATATTAAGCTGCTGGCTTGGAAATGAGTGAAGGTCTGAAAGAACAACATGTATTACAAAAGAGATTGTTACAATATGCGGACTTGTGACTTGAAATCAAACATTGAATCAAAATTGAATTGGATATAAAAAGGCATGAAGATAATTTTCACTGTGTGAGGCAGAAATAGGAATGTAATATAAAGTTGATAGCAGATGTGCTGCTGCTGACATCTTGAAGCCAGGGAAATTTGCATTTGAAAATTGTGCTTGGATTTGGTATAAACTGTTTATGAACAGGTAATTGTTTTATAATAAAATCATTTAACCTCATAACACAGAGTGTTAAGATACTCAAAGAGAAAAAGCTGCTTGTATTTTCCATTATGTTTTCTGAGATAATTTGAGGAACTGTGGCTGTGGTTCCATGTGCCCTTCATGGTGTCTACCTGCACAGTCTGCTTCCACCTGTGGCCATTCTTTCCTGTCCACAGCATTGTGCCAGTAGAGGGTCTGTGGGTACATAAGGTGAATCAGATTAGTGAACTGATTTGTCTAGGAAGAAGTCAGATAACACTGTAAAAAAGCACTTAGGTTGGTTTGGTTTTCAGGTGGATTGGTTAACAGAATAGCTCACAACTTGGCATGAGAGTTGGCAGTTCTAATACACTGCAGATGAGGACATTTTAACAGGATGTGAGGCCTAATGGGGAGATTGCTCTGAGGCTTTGGCAAGAAAGACATGCCTCTGGATTCACAGATCCTTGTTTTGAGCCTCATTTAAGATATAGAAATGCAATAAAAATGTTTAATTTTGGTTGAAACTATCTTGTGGTCTAGAATGGCTGAAGCTGTCTATCCAAACCGATTTCCCAATTTTTCCCACCAGCGCCCTACATTTGTTGCACCTCTGAAGAAAAAAGTTTTCCTGTATTGTTTTTTTGCCTCAGCATGATGTGATTACGCGCTGAGGAATTTTCTGCTTAATCCAAAATCAAAACTCTAATCTAGAAATGCAAGAATAAGTCAGGAAGTGAATTAAAGTCAATAAATTTGTTCTAGCTTAGAGACTTTGTCTCAGGCCTTTAAATTTTTAGAATATAAATGAAATATTCTTCAGATGGTGAAACAAATATATACTGGTGGAATCCCATCTACATGGGTGATCAAAAATACAGAGAACTATTCAGATGCCTAAAACGATCTTAAAATGGCTGTGGTTTTGAGATTAATAAAAAAGCTCTGAGAGACTCCATTTAAGAATGTTTCTGAATAGCTCATTAGCAATACAGCTGAAATACAGCTGCTGCTCTCCAGCTTTTGGGAGGAGGAGGTTTTTAATCAGATACACTCACAATCAGTATTTCTTTCCTGGTCCGCTGAAGCGAGATAGTGATATCCAAATCAGACTACAGACTAATTTGAAGAATAGCTAATTAGGTATTCTAAAGATTTTTCCAGGCTGATGCAGCAAGCTTTGGTAGGAAATGATGCGCTTTAAATTAAAATGTATAAGAAAAGAAAAGGGGGGACGGGGGGGACGGAAGTTTGGGGGGGGAGGGGAGAAAAAAAACAAAAAAACCCTTAGGTGAGTTTGTAGAGGAAAAGGAAGTAAAAAGTGGAAGTTGTTTATTTTTGCCTTCCTGTACAGCCTAAATGATTCCTCAGAGGTACCATGGCACAATCAAGGCGTTTTATTAATTCACACTTTGCCTTTCTGGAAAGTCATCCATTTTCTTGGCCCTGGTTATTAACAATTTCTGTGCTTGGAAAAGGGATATCAGTACTGTTGTTTACAGTTTACTTTAGCTGTACTTACTTAAACTAAAAATTAGCATCTTTACATTTAAAATCTTTGTGATCCTAGTAGTATGACATACAGTGAGGCTTTGGGGAGCTGTTAGGGATAGTATTTAAATGTTATGGGGTTTTTACGCAGTATTACACAGTTAATAGCTGTTGCTATTATCCAGTTATCCATTGTAGTTATGTTGTGGTACCAGCAGCTGAATGTTTTATGTTTTGTCTCAGTCTGTGGAAGTATTAGCATTTCAGTAATTACCCAGGGAAAGCTCACATGCTTTGTGTTTGTTCATGTGCTTGGGTGACTGACTGCTCAGTGTGACAGCTGTGCAGACAACAAATCTGAATACCACCGTCTTAGAGCTTGGGGTTTCTTATGTGCCTCCAAGTCATCATAGCATTCTCTTCACTTACATAAGCAGTACTTGGATATTATGATCTCTGAAGAACTAATTTTGTGTAATAAAAATTTTATTCTGCCTAATGTACCACCAGAAGATTACAGAACCTGTCTTGATTACAGAAACATTTTTTCCAGAGATGATGATGTACAGCTATGGAGAATAAAAGTAAAATAGAAGACTTGTAGCAAAACAATACATGTTGAGCTCAGCCTGCATTTTATTACTCTTGCAGAACAGCTTTTTTTGCTTCTCATACCACTGAATCCTCCAACTGGTATATGGATGTCTTGATTTAATACAGCTCTTTTTGGAGCTGCAACTAGAAAAATATATAACAAAAATATTTTTGGAGGAGCAACCGAAATCACTGTGAAGCATGAAAAGCAGAAATGTTACAGGACAGAGACTGCCTTCCAGAGTTGTACGGGATTGTAGATACATCATTCTGGCAGGTTTCCTGAAGGCTGTACAGTTCCAAAGCTCAGAGATACCAAGCAAGAGCAGAAAATAATGCAAACACATTATCTTTCTGTAAATACAGTGAACACCACTGCCATAGCCCTCCCACTTTCTGAGTTTGCTCAGCCTAGCCTTGTTTTATCTTTCTATAGCTGCATTCTTTCTGTTTTGCAGATTCACCTGTGTCTCAGAAGACCCATTGTATACAGTTGTCCTCTGGTTTTGGAGGTAAGAGTGTAATTTCTAAACTTGTGTGGGAGAACGTAACTTACGTGGGATTTCATTTAATGAACACACAAGAATTCTCCTGTTGAGTAACTCCACATTAACAGACAGTTAACAATACAGAGCACTGTATTTCTAAACACCTGTGTGATTCAGGTGGGAAGGAGTTGGATACTCTTCTTTGTTGATTAAATTTCTGGACTTTGTGTACTTAATACCATACCTATGGGAAGGGAGGTTAAAAAACAAAACCACCTTTCCAATATCGACTGTGTACTGTATTAAAATTGGAGATGCTAAAGTAGTATGATAGTCATATGATAGAAAAAGATTAAAGAATATACAACAGTCCGGGAGAGAATCGAAACCTCTGAAGAGTTATTTTTAGAAGCATATGGATGAACAGTAAGGGAAAGCATGAGACACTTCCTTTGCTAGCATAATGTTTTGTAAAAGCCTAAGCGTGCTGCAGAAACAAAGAGGAAATCCTTAAGATTGAGGTGAAGTTGACTGATGGAAGGGTCAATTACAATTTAGTCCAGGCTCTAAGAGAGTGATAGATGAGATTAGAAAGAAGTTTTCAAATGCATTTATGAATGAAAAAAAACAACAACAAAAACCCAAACCAAAAAAACACCTTAAAATGTGAATGAGAGGAACGTAGAAGTTGGCTTTTCCAGTTACAAAACTTACAGCTTGTGCGCTGGTTGTGTGAGACGGATGTTTAAGATCCCATGAGCAGTTGTCTTCATCAGTTCAGATGTACCCTTGTCTCCCCCATGGCTGGGATTTTGAAGGCTCTAGTGCTCAATGAGGTAGAATAGATTCAAATTAGTTTTTAGTAACACATTAAAAATACTGTTCTGTATCTTACTATAGACAAGTCAAATGTGATCCTTTTCAGAAATGGTAGTATGGTGATACAGGTGATTGCAGCCACTGACAACATCCAATTAATGAGACCTTTCCTGAAGGGTTAAGTTTAAGTACTTAGTTCTGTTTTAATTTGACTTTGCTGAAATTTTATGGGTTCAGAGCCTCATTCTCAAGGATGACAATTATGTTAATGTGACCATCATAAGATCTTGCCTCTCCCTGGTTCTTGCCATACCAGTGTATCCTTCCAGAAGATAGTTGTCAACTTTAGTTTGTAATTCCTAGCTGTTGATGTCCCTTGTTCATGAAGGCATGAAAACTAATTCTTCTCATAACCTTTATGGTTCAGGAGATTAGCTAGAATCTGTATATACTTTTTGATTTGGGGCAAAGAGTATTTCTAGTTCTCCTCTTCTTCACACAAACGGAGACAGTGATGGTCTTTAGTCCAATCGCCTGTTAATTTTGTTATCCAAGTTCTCTTGAGAATTTTCTCCATTTTGAAAAGGAAGTTAGCCAATTCCTGCTTTACATGAAAGAGGACATGAACATGAGAAAGAGAAGAGAAGCAAAGAACACCCTCATTTCCTGCACTGAGCCAATTTTATTTTTAGCAAAATCTAATATGATCTTGAATTTTAAGATCATCCAAAAGTAGGTAGAGTAACAGATACTACTACTGTCAAAGAGGAAAAGCATTTATTGAAAAACTTATGTTTCTGTGAACATGCTTTTGCTGTTGGATTCTTCGTTGGTTACAGTTCGGAATTACTGACTCAATCTTCAAAGGTCATAGAGTGTTAAAATGACAAGCAGTGACTGGCTTAGCTGTGACCCAGATGCTAATAGGTTTGTAAGCTAAAGAAAACTTTAATTGAAGATTTGTCCTAAACTGGGCAAAAGTCACAAACTTCACCGGGGAAAAAGTGTGAAAGGGAGAATTTAATGAATTAGGGGATGAAACAGATGACTTAAAGGTATTAATTAAGTTTTATTTTTTCTCTCTATGCTTTTTTTTTCTTATAAAATTCATTTCCACTACAAATTCATACGTAAAATGTGTGGGAATGGCACAGCACTCATGTCTTTGATTTGATCACCATATACTGTAAAGTTAACAGTGCTCAAAGAAAATAAATGAAAACTAGCTTGTAATCCCCATTGTATGTGCCCTTTCCTCAGTTCCAAACATTTTTTGTAGTTTTAGATTAATTCATTCTTTGAGTTGAAGTTGGTCTTAACTGCAGTTTGAAATCTCTCACAGTGTGAGAGAATTTAACACTTTTGGCATCAGTGTTATCAGCTGATCTCTTCAGCATACCCCAACAAAACAGCAGTTCTGCAGAATGCTGAGGACAGGAGGGAGCAGATTTCTTCTGGAGTAAAGAGGCGTAAAAGGGGAGAGAGTGGACGTGCTAAGAGCCATAGGTGCAGCTCCCTGGTAACAATGAAGATTCATTTTGCTCTCTAGTGTAGTACTGGATCCTGAATCAGACCATTCTTTTTCCATCTAAGATGTGAAATACTGTTCTGTGTTTCCTGGTCCTAAAATGGGTTCCCTGATACTGCTTTCTAAACAATTCTAGGGTACCTAAAGTCTGAATTATGCAGTTGATACAAGTTGAGGCACAAAACCCGTGTGCTTCCATGACTAAAATCCTGTTACTGTTTTTCATCTCTTACAGAATTGAGATCTGTGTGGTTGAAGGTGTCAGTAGAGGGTAAGAAAAGCAAGAAGTATCACAGAATTAGAGTGTATATACTTAAACATCTTTCTGTTTATTGACTGACTTTACATTTTAAGGCCTTTATTTTGCAACCTCATTATTGTAAATAAGGTGGTTTATGCAAACTTTTGGCTTTTTTTTTTTCTTCCCCCCACCAACTGTGCTTCTGATGTGTAGAACAGATGAAGCATAAATGTCTATGGCAAAAATGACTACAACAGATGCACTGATGTGTTGCTGTGTTCAAGACTGATATATATGTGGGCTACCCTTTTAAAAGGAAACCTTACTGGCTGAATTAAAACAAAAAAAAATCATCTGGCAATCTTCAATCTTTAATTATTTTCATATCTCAGAATTTGTAACAAAGGAGAATGAACCATGTCCATTAATACAAATTTGAAGCATTATATAATTAAGTCATGATCTCTTTTTAAGTTACAGAGTTTTTAAGAGTGTGACCTTTAAGAATTACAAACCTAAACTAAAAGGGATTTACAGAAGTATTTTTATTTTTTATGTAACCATTATTTAAAGGTTCCTCTCTAATTAAATTTTGTCTCCTTGCAAGGGAGAATGAACTGTTCCTGAAAAAGCTTCTCATATGGGTAGCAGTATAATTAGAGAACTAGTTCTGCAAATGTCATACAAAAAAGGCCTTTAATGAAGTAACAGTTTCAGTCATGTTTGGTTCACAGCATTGTACTGCAGCATGTTTTCTCAAAAGTGTTTTTGGAGGATTGACTTTAAACATAAAGCCAGTAGCTTATTTTAACAGAAATGAGAAACAGGTAAACTAGGTTTTATTATTATTCCCCCCCCCCCCCCAATTTAGACTAAACAGTGTTGTCAACTATGCTGACTGTCTTGCAAGTCTGGCAGTATTGTCTGGCTTTCTTAAAGGCCATCTTCTGTCATGATGTGAACATGTGAGAGCTTTCTGGTTTTAGAAGCAGTAGAAAAGTCTTCCAAACTCCCTGTCTAAAGAGCAGCATTAATAGCGTAACCCAAATATGGATGTTGTTAATGCATCTGAAGGAGGAAGGGGGGAAGTCTGTGTGAATGTGATGTGGAAAGTTATCTTCTTTTTTAGTCCAAATGCCTGTTTATTCATCAACTCTTTGATGTGCCACTACCCAAAGAATGCAGTGATTATTTTAAAATCTTGTGATGCTGAATAAGACCAATCAATTTGATTTTTCTTTTTGTGTGTTTTGGGTTCTTTTGTTTTGCTTGACTTGTGATTTTTACATTGCTTGACTTTGACAATACTGTAAACATAAAATTTTGACATTTAGAAAAGATTGTTTTCTGCTTTGAAATGAAAGCAATGGTTTCGGTTTCCTTCCTAGTCTTGCATAAACTTGAACGTCCTACCTCAGGTTAGGCTGAAGTGCTGTATTTTACAACCCTGACTTCAATAACTAGATAATAGGGCATTTCACAAAAACTTTCTCTCATGTGATAGCCAGTTTGATGTCTAGTACTAGTATTATCAGACATTAATAAGCATGAGACTAGGAAGGAGATTAATTCAGTTCACCACATTAAAAGAAACACAACAGTAGTTCTGTTGACACATTTTAGTGCTTTGGAGAAGGAACTTTCCATTAGTCTAGGGAATTACTGTAGACAAGGATGTGCTGTGCTGTTTCTCTATAGAAAAAATCCAAATTTGATGAAGATGCAGGATTTGTCAAAGCCTTGTGAGTTCAGCTATGGCTGCATGGTACTGTGCAGCGATTGCTAAAGTAAGATTCAGTGAGCTGGAATGAGTACCTGTGTGTAGCCAGTACTACACACTAGTGGAACAACTGTGAGTTTCTTGGGCACTGGTGCTCTGGTAGACATCACTGAAAATAGGTGAGCAGGCTGAATCTTACACTACCACTGAAGCTCGCCAAGGGTTCTCCACATGTCATATTCCTGGTAGAAATCAGGATGGAGCCTTCTGGCACTTGGTGCTCTTCAGATAGTTGACAGAGTTCTGCTTTGCCATAGGTTTGCTCTGTGTCTCCAAGAAACTCACCTGGAATAAGTTGCTACGATCATCCATTAATGGTCATTTTAATAGATGCCTGCTGTGGAATACTTGATACCTACAGGTGGAAAATATGCCAAATGTTTCTGTGAAAGAGAAGGAAATTGCCGGGGAGGGGGACCGGTGTGATTCTTTTGATTTTCAAATTATGGTGCTTTGTAGTCTAATGAAACAAGGTTCTAGTAATTTCAAATCAGATGCCTCAAATTCGTGTAGACTTTTCCCCTAATTATTTTGGGGTTTCACACTTCATCACTTGAGATAGTCTTTATGGAGGACCATGAAAATAAATTAATGGAGGCAGATTCCTAAATAATATTTTGAAAGTACTGGAGACAAGCATCCTCAGGGAAAGAACAGTTCTCTCTTCAAAGCAGGGTGTGCGTGACCTTGCCTTTCTGTTTTGTTTTGGTGGTTTTTTTTGGGGGGGTTGTTCCTTTTGTAGAAAGGAATTGCTCATTTGTTTTAGGTGAACAACCAAGTGAATGTGTCTCCTAGCCTGTACCATACATTAGATAATACAAATACAGATCTCTTTGCCAAAGGTGTGGTAATTTCTCATGCTGAATGGCTCATCCAAGTTTGGGGTTTCTTTGGTCACTGAAAGGCAGTTCCTAGACATACAGGCACATGATGACATTGCTTTATTTAATCATTTGAAATGCTTTAACTGTGACTCCAAATGAAAATAATTCATTTTGTCAAGACCAAGAGATAAGAAGAGGTTAAAGCCAGAAAATCAAGGAAACAGAAGTTCTGTAGAATCCTTCCAGTCTCTTGATACTTCTTGAAGATAGTATTGTTATTTGGTTGAACCTATGTAGTGAATGTACATTAATATTGATTGTCATACTGCGTATCCTTAAAGCCTGGAATACTCAGTGGTTTTGTAGTACTCAGCATTTTGATAGCCTGCTTTGCAAGAAGCAGACACAGTGGAGTTTGATTGTCCTTTTTTGTGTTGTTTTGTTTTTTTTTTTATAGCCTTTTCACAAAATTATGGATTGGAAAGCCACATAGGAGGAAGAATATTACAGGGTGATTAAGGTTTGTTAAAGATATAAGCAAGTGCTGAAAGGGAGATAGTGAGAACTGTTCATTTTTACTAAATGGCACTAATTTTTCTGGCCGTGCCAGGTGCCAGGTAAAGTCTCTCATGTAGATCAGAGTCAGTCTGCTGTTCTGTCCTGTACATAAGCCTAGGAATGCCTCTTCCTGCATGGAATCAAAGTGATTTTAGTGGACAGATGGCAGTATGGTTATGTGACACCATGTTCCAGCAAAGCACTGCTCAAATGAACTGCTCTTCTGGAAACTGTCAAGTAATATGCTGATGACCTTTCCAAGAGAAATCAGCAATTTCTGATTCACGGTAGGACGTGGGATGGAAATTTTTAGGTTGCAGTTTTCTTTCATTCTGTAAGAGTTTATCGGAAAGAAAGTACTGCTGGTAAGTGTGCATCTTCAGACACTTTATACAGGAAGTTGGCATCAGAAGTTTATTTCACAATGTTTAAGTTCATGTTGATTCATACTGCAGAAGTAACTTTTTTTCCTTTCCCCTACAAATTTCTGCCAAATTTCACTTATATTCTAGGGCTTCTTTAATCTCTCGAATTGCAGCAGAGTTGAAATCATCCATCTTACCCAGGGATAGTGCTGATGTTATGGTTTTTTCTTACAGAGAGGAGTGGTCTGTGGATGAAGTGCCAGGAGTGATAATTAAATCTCAAGAATTTGCAAGCTGATCTAGTGTCCCACTCTGGCACAGACTTTATGTGAAATGCTGAGTCACCTTGTCTGTGCTTTACTGGTCTTTCTGTGTCTAGTTATCTATAAAGTGTGATGGTTAGATGCGTAAGTGCCTTGAAAGGTCCTAGAACAGCATGTGCTAAAATTTCCACCTGGAGCCCTCAGATGTTTCATCTTCTGTCCTTGCAGTGGCTGATGCTTTTGAGAACTCTCAGCCACAGCTGCTTGGCTAACTGTAGGTTATATAAACACTGCGGTTCCAATCTGCTAGTTTCTTGAAGGCTAAAATTACTTTCTCTTATATAAAAATATGAAAGGAGTATTTGATCTACTTAAAAATTGAAGGAAAGGATTTATTTTACTCCACACTTCTTGATGTAAGGTTAACAGTGGCCGTAAATGCAAATACACTTTTGCTCATGTGTTTGGGACAAAGAGCTATTTACAGATCCCAGCCCTAGACTACTTCTACACCTTGGCTGATTTCATCAGTATCAGGAGTCAGCCAAAATTACGTGATAGTAAATAGGTTCAGCTGACAAGTAACTCTCTTGCAAAAAGTGGTTTGTGGTTGCGTAAGCATCGAGCACTTTTCTTCTTAATTGTATATTTGACAGTCAGAGTTGGTTCGTTTTTCAGGGGGTTTGTTTTGTTTTGTTTTTTAAATTTAAGCTTATTTATCTCTGTGTACTTGCTCCAATAGTATAAAAGCAAAACACTTTGAGGGGTTTTTTTTCACCCCTATGTTTCTGCCTCTTCAGTTTTGTTTACTTCGATTCAGTGTATTAGTTAAAAGTGGCTCAGCCTGTAAGTGTCCTATTCAGACTCTTGTTTCTAAGTCAGGCTCCCTTGCTTTGCTAGATCAACGCTGTAAACACTGTAATTGGGGATTTCCCAGGAGATGGCTGCTCACAGGCAGTC